ATATGGTCGTCGACAGCACAAAATCCTTTCAGATTGAATAAGATGAGATCATATACCGAATTGAGATGAGAAAGATCAACTCGAGGAAAGATTTGTTCGCATATGGAGGTCTGGGTCACTGTATCTCACTGGCAATGTAGCCCTAGTTGGTCGATGAAGCCGTGAATTGAGATACTTCTCCAGTTGCTGAGTCTGCTTGTTCTTCGTGACACCGTGGCAAATCTCCTGTTACGCCCTTCAGCAGGGCATTTCGATCGTCAGCGACCATTCTTACGGTAAACATGGGTCATTGATGAAGCAAGCGCACTTTGAGTCCGACTTTCTGAATCGTGAACGGCAGCAAACCTTGAGCAATGTGTCGCCGAGCTTTTGGTGTCGCCGAGCATTGACCACAAGAAGAGGTGATCGTGAATAGGTCGGAGCGTGGGCGGCGTTGCCGATGAGAATTTGAACAAAGTTGAATGAAATGTCCAAAGGGGCTACTTTTGAAGCACTTCTCAGACGTCTTGTCGGTGGTAAGGTGCAGCATGGGCAAGGTCAATTGCGACGTCACGAACTACAGAGAATTTCATATGGGCACATCCCAGTAGCTGTCGGAAAGTGTTTTCCGACTATCTGGCAATGACTAGACGTGACATTGACGTTATGATGTTATTGAGATGCCGCTGCTGCGCGGGCCACGCGGATTACGCGGGCCACGCGGTCCGCGCAAATTTGGAAAGGAAAATCGATGGGATGAACCCTTGTAATCTGGTTGGCTCGAAAAGTAGGAGCACCGCCAACATACAGCCAAGTGCCTCCGTTGTAGGCATACTGGCAACGAACATGAAATTCATGAATTCAGATTTGATCTCCTTTACGTTAACATATTCATTGACTGGTTCCTAAAGCTCCAAGTCAGCGCCCCCGCGCCTTAGGCATTGCAGCAGCTGAAGAGAGTCTTCCTACCGACATTTATTCTCTTACCACTTTATCGTCACGATCTACGTGATTTCATAGTTGTTCTGGGCCAACGACATTACCCCCACACAGTACCAACAACTTCACCGACAACGCCGGCTAACGGTTCAGACCTTCACCTCAACTAGAGCTGCAGAATCCTAGCAGCCAAGGCGTGTTTTAATAGACTCGCGTCTACTATAAGAGCATCAAGATGGCACGTTGGTTTTCTCACACGATATTGGCAGAGACTGACGTTGAACAGTCGACCCTGGAACAAAGACGCAGCATTTGGCTTGCAAAATTGGAAAGTTATCAGCACCGTTTCCATGTAGCAAGAGAAGACGTCACGGCCAAGTTTCACAGCCAGCAGCAGATAGTGGACCAGGAATTACGCAAGGACTTCTATCTTATGAACCAGAGGCGCCTGGAACGCGATGTCACAAGCCTCTTTGATCGGTATCAAACAGAGATACGGGCACTTCGAAGAGCCGAAATTGAAAGAGAGTACGCACATTCTCTAGAACATTTGGACAGAGAAGAGCAAGAGGTGATTCATCAGCATCAATTATTGTTTCCGCTACCGACAACTTCAGCAGCAAGGGTACCGGATGGGACACCATTTTGGCCGTCGTCCAACCGCCACGGGACAGCCTCGGCAAATTCTGCTATGGTGCCATCCCCGACAGAGGCCCCCTCACGGTCAAGACAAATCCAGGTTTCCCTACCACATGACGCTGGTTTTCGAGAAGAACCATTCCAGCAGAGGCACATTCTATCAACGCGGCGTCCAGCCAACACTTCTGAGTTTGCTCTTCGCTTTGATGGTGAACTGTCCAGCTCGCACAGCACGATGGCTAGGTCTCACACAGGCTTCCACCATTTAAACGAGACGCCGGAAACCGACAGACTTCATCACGAAACATCCGGCGCTTCCCCTGGACACGCTTTGGGTTCATGGCATGCCGCAATTGACGGTCGTTCTGAACGAAGGACTGATCAGTTCCGGCCAAGTAAGGCCAGCCACAGTTTACCACGAGACCACGCCACATTGTTACAAACAGCGAGGCATGACCAATTAATGAGACTCGATGGCCGAAGTGGCCGACAAACAAACTCCAATAATTGGTATCGCGAGCCTGCAAAGCCGAGTAATGAACGGATTGAGTTTGACGAAGTTTACCAAGACGGCAAAGCGGAGTTCAAACATACGATTGTGAAATTCTCGAATAAATTTTACATTTTGAAGTATGCCTTATTGAAGCAACCAAATCAAGAGTAATCCACTAACTGATAGCAGGTGCGACAGGCATGGCGTTCACTTCAAACAGAATGCTCTCATCGCTGCCGCGAAACATCTTAATAGTGCCCTTCACGGATTCATGAGAAAGGACTTCCGCCAGGCCATTGAGTCACTTGGCATTCGTGTCCTCAACTGTACTGATGAGCTAGCTAAGCTCAACAACGATGTCGTGCGGCATGCCTTTGAAATGGGATACAAGCCCATGAATTTATTGCGAAGCCGATACAATTCGTCTAAGCACCAATTAAGCCACGACACGCCAACGCCTCCTCCTGAACGCGCGCTGTCATCGCCAGCCGTCTCTCAGCAGACACCAGAGAAGGAAGACGTATCTGAAGGTGTTTTGAATCCCAAGCCGGGAGAGCTCTACTTGGCCAACTGCCCGAAGACGAATAGAACGTCTGTCGTAATGGCCTTGGGATGGAAGGACCTTTCAATGTGTGGGCGGGGCGAGATGTTTTGCGATCTAGCTTTATACAAAGACAAGCCCAGGCCTCGTTGTTATGAATTTGACAACGAGGGTATTATCGGCTGGGCCCCGGGTTACGGCGACGGGGAGTCGCTCGAGTCCTCTCGCGAGGTACCGGTCATGCGGTGCGAGAGTAATGGAGAAGACTGTTTCGTATGGACGAACGTACGACTGTTGACGCCGTTTCGCCTCGACGAACCTGACCGACGCTGTGATGCCGACGCAGGCGAACTTCGAATACGGCAGGTTTATGCTAGAGTCCGCGGCTTTGAGTCGTTCGAGAGCATGCTCGCTTACCAAGCCATCAAGGGGGATCCACGCCCGGAATGTACCCTGACCAAATCGCATCGCATGGGAAGCCATTCGGAATTTGAGCTGCAAAGCACTGGATCACCCAGCCTTCAGCCACTTGGGTCTGGCGCGCAAGTCTTGGGAGATGAGGCTGGTCCAGAAATGCGGAGTACACCATCGACAGATTCAAGGGACTTTGACAATGTTCAGGACACTTTGCGAAGCACCGTCAAATCTTCCTGTCCATCTCTCTCGCACAGGCCCGGTATCCAGACAGCCGAGTCAGTCTGCCATGAAATCCGCCGCAAGGACTCTCCAGCGACTCCTGGACCACTGAATGTTGAGAGGCAAAACCGGCCAGAGAAATTTCAGACTTTTGAAACCAGCTCTTCACCCAAGTCTAGGGAGAAGACTGCATCTCGTAGCCCAGAAGCATCGGTGCCGTCGCTCCTGGAACAGGTTCGCCCAGGCCGAGACAGAGAGGAGGGGACCAGAACGTGCACACCGCATGCTGAGCACCACGCGGACACCATAGAGGTCTTGCTATCCCCGCCGAATGGATCATTTCCCCAGCAACCACGACTTGAAGCCGACCAACCGCATCCGGCTTCCACGCGAGCTGGACACAGAAGACAGTCGCAGCGTGCAGTTGTCCGGCAATTGAGAGGTCGGTTCGTGCCAACTGACAGTCACTCGTCCGGAACACGGCGCAAATAGCAAGAACGCGGAAGCCACAGCTCATTGCTTCAATGTCAAGAATTGGTCGGAGACCGACCAAACTCCTATCTGGAAGGCTGCTAAGGATAGGCTCAGTGGCATTTCTCTGACGATTAAGAACATCCAGACACCAACCTTGGGGTAGTTAATGTGGTGGTCGCAACGCACACAGGTCTATGAATACCACGATATTGGCCTTCTGCTGTTAAGTTCGTGTTCTTTTTACGCGAACGTAGTAGTCTTCTGTTAAGACCCTGACCTCGTATCTTTAACATGCGAGGCAGGAGGTGAGGAATGCGGAATCCGTCAACAGTTACGTTAGAGGTAGGCTCTATTGCCGAGAGCTCAACAGACAATTTTGATGGATTGCAATGCTCAATTGTTGCCGAGGTATTGCGATTCATAACTTCACCCAGTGGCTTGTGATTAATCCAGAGTTTTGCTATACGGGCGGGTAATAGGCATAGACGACAATGGGGAAAAAGGCGACAGAATCAATAGGGACGAGAGGGACAACAAGGTTATATAATAAAGTTACTCAAAATAAGGAAAGGAAAAAAGAAATCTTAGGTCTAATATAATACCTCAACTGTCCGCAGACTCTTAACCTAAACGTCACCCCTTATCTCAATAACATTTCTTTTTTCTTTATTTAACCCTACCTAGCACTTCATAAAGATCAAGACCTTGTCAAGTAGGCTGCGTATGGGTGTGTCTTAACTCAAAATACCTACCTATAATTGGCCGAGTGAATGCTCTCTGTATTGAATGAAAACTGGTTGTTAGTAGCACGAATACAGTCAAAATGTGGCAGCACCAAATCTCCGTCACTCATGCCATTCGACCCGTTTGGTAGGTTGGGTAGTTGGAGGCATTCAAGCCAAGCTGGAACCCTTGACGGCTTCATAAGTGCCCTTCCAATCATCTCAACGTGGTGCTACCTTTGATGCAGTGAAGTGGCACAAGATGGGCTGCGAGAAGCAGGCTCTCGGCTGCTCTCCTCGACTTGACCAATCGAGGCGCATAAAAGCTTCGCTACATGAGTTCCGACCCACCACAATGCATGCACTGCCACGCACAGTATTATCAGTCAGCCGAGCAGCCTGATTGAGCATGCATGCATGTGTCTCTGGAGCGAGGTCTTATTGACTGACATGACTCCCCGTCATTATGCCTGCCGAAGTCTCACTTTTTCGATTGATCAAATCCCCTCGCTTTCTGAAAAGCACAGATTACTTCATTTACAGCCTGGTTTCTGTATCGATCGAAGGTCACTTCATCATGCAGTACTTTGCCAAGCTGCGGAAGAAACATCGATCCAAGCGGACCGATGGACCATCATCGACCAACCTGGAATCGGAGACTCCTCCCACTTCATTAACGACACCCACGCCGGTATCCGCACTCTCAGAATTCCCCGTCAATGAAATGCCCACGACCACAATTGCACCGGTCTCTATCAGTCTTCAGGATGTGCGAAAGCAAATCTGGAACGATGCTTACGACGAAGCTAAAAAAGATGAACCGAAAATATTCGAACAATACGAGCAGATTCTATCTGTCCACCTGCGAGAGACTAGCAATCGAACTTCCGATGCTGAAAACGGAACGAATGCCATCAAACAGGACACGCTGGGTCGGCAGTTGCAGATGACGAAGCTCGTCGAAATGGGTCTAGAGAAAACAGAGAAGAGCGCAATGGCAAAAGGAAAGATCAAGGAAGGAATGCAGCCTGTCCTTAACATCAAAGAGTTCGTCGCCACTGCTGTCAAATCTGAGCCAACTGCTGCTATCGCCTGGGTGGGCGTTATGACCTGCATGGATGTAAGGAGATCCAATAAGCTTCAATGCTCCCGCTAACAGTCTCACAGATCATAACCAATCCCGTCACTGAGCCGGGCGTCAATCGTGACGGTGTCAAGTTTGTACTCGAACGAAGCCGGTGGCATTGGGAGTTGACGCAACTTCTACTCGATATCCGCAAGACTGACACGTCTCTGACCGAGCTGCAAACGCAACTGAAAGCGCATATTGCTCGTCTCTACAAGAAGCTCCTGCTTTATCAAATCCAGAGCGTTGTCTTGTACAACAGAAGACTGGTGGGCGTCCTCATTAGAGACGTTTTCAAAGTTGACGATTGGCAACAAAAGATTGATGCGATTCTGGGTGTTGAAGAAGCTTTGCGCAAAGATGTGGAACAGCATAACTCTGAAGAGCTGAAAGGACGGCTTCGAGATATTGACAGCACCCTGAAGGACCTGCGACTGGACATCAAAGCAGTGGAAACTGCGGTTGAACAGCAGACCCGGGTCTTACACAAGCTTCACCACGACGACAAGGACAAGGAATGCTTGGCACGTTTATGTGTTATCAATCCAGAAACCCATAAGGCAAAAATTCAGCGGACAGGAGGCGGACTACTGAAAGATTCGTACGAATGGATTCTCGACCATGAAGACTTCCAGAGGTTCCGTTCTAACCCAGAGAGTCGCCTACTCTGGATCAGAGGTGATCCAGGCAAGGGAAAGACAATGCTTCTCTGTGGTATTATTGACGAGCTGAAGAACGAGTCGTCACGTCCGTTGACGTATGCCTTCTGCCAGGCAACTCATGGTGATTTCAGGAGTGCGACCTCGGTACTCCGCAGTCTGATATGGCTTCTCTGCAAGGATCACCCAGAGCTAGTCTCGCATGTTCGAGAGAGATACGATGTTGAGGGCGAGACCCCACTCAAAGACATCACTGCCTTACAAAGCATACTCGGACAAATGCTTGGAGAGACCTATTTGAGAGATGCTGTCTTACTGGTCGATGCTCTAGATGAGTATTTGGCGGATCGAACAGAGCTCATCGACATTATAAGCGACTTCTCAGGCTCCTTTCCAGCCAAGTGGATTGTCTCGAGCAGAAACTGGCCTGATATCAACGGACAACTACAACATGCTCAGAAAGACATCTTGTCTCTCGAGTTGAATAATGATGCCATATCCCAAGCTGTCAGTGTGTTCGTTGAACACAAGGCCAAAGAACTGGCATTACGCAAAAGGTACAGCCCAACGATGCAAGAAGCTGTTCTCAAAACGCTTCTCCAGAAAGCCAGGGACACCTTTATCTGGGTAGCATTGGTATGCGCAGAGCTTGACCGTGTCCCAGAACGACATACTATGGCGCATTTGAAATCGATCCCTGGAGATCTCACGAGACTATATGACCGTATGCTGGATCATGCAGTTGTTTCTCGCGATGCAGATTCCTGTCAGAATATTCTCCGCGTTGCTTGCATAACGTTCCGGCCACTCACCCTCAGTGAACTTCAAGTTCTCGTTGAGGAGCTGGGTGATCACAGCCACGATGTACTGCGAGAGATAGTGGGAGAATGCGGTTCATTTCTTACTATACAAGAGGATACGGTCTATTTTATTCATCAGTCGGCCAAAGATTTCCTGATTCAGCAAGGGAAGGACAGACTCTCCCACCTCAGCAGTCGGGACCTGCATCACCAATTGTTCGTCCGATCACTGAGCATTTTGATGGGGCTAAAGCGAAATCCTTATAATTTGGACTCCCCTGGGGTTTTGGCCAGCGATATTGTACGGCCTGAGTCTGACCCATTGGCCTCGCTCGAATATTCGTGCGTCTATTGGATTGATCATTGCAACGAGCTCGGTGACGCGAGGGCATTATCAGACGATAAGCGGATTGAGGTATTCGCCAGAAAGTCCTTCTTACACTGGCTAGAGGCTCTCAGCATATTCCAAGAAGTACCAGAGGCTGTCAAAGGTATACAGACACTCGCTAAAATCATGGTAAGTTTGCACGTGAAAAGCCCGAAATCCTCTGCATTCAGGTCTGATACGTCGGTCAGGGCGACACAGCAAACCATGACCCGAAGAAAATTGTTGACGACATGAGACGGTTCGTGCTTTTGCACATAGACACCATCAGGATCGCCCCTCTCCAGATCTATAACTCGGCGCTTGTCTTCTGCCCTTTCGGCAGTACGATCAGAGGGATGTTCGAACATGAAGAACCGGACTGGATCAGGCCGAAGCCGAACATCCCAAGCAACTGGGAAACCTACATTCAGACAATTGAATTAGATTTTGCGGATGGTGGCATTGTAAATATGCAGTTCTCCGAGGGAAATTTGCTCCTTTTGACGGAGTGGAGTCATATCATCATTTGGGACGTACTTTCCGGTCGCCGCCTACACACAATCTACAACAATTACGACGCTGATAAACATTATTTCTCCTCTGTTCCGATGGACATAGTGACGTTGCACCACAATGGCAGATTTCTCGTGGGTTCATCTTTTTGGGGTTTCCACATATGGGATGTCGAATCTGGTGAAAGCATGGATTCTCTGCGACCACCTTACGACTGCACCTGCACTATTGAGAGAATTGCATCTTCGCCTGACGGACAGTCTCTGGCTATCATTTCAGCGTCTTTGACACCGGAAGAGAACATAGTCCTGACGATGACGATATGGGATTGGCCTACTTTCAAACGGCAGGTAGTGCTACAGTATCCAGAATGCCGTTGTGCACCATTCTTATCTTTCTCGTCGGATAGCAAGTTACTATCGTCAACTCTTGACACAGGCTTCAAAGTCTGGAATTTGGCAGATGGCAGTTGTTTATTGGAGGTTGGAGAATTCCCCGAACTCATCAGAAGCCCCACATTCGTCTTCTTGGACGAAAGTCGCCTTGTTTGTTGGTCGGCTGGCACGACTGTCAATATCTGGGACACAGAAACCCAACGTTGTGTTCATACTCTTCAACTTCAGGACGAAGTTGATGCAATCGCACCCATAAGAAGAAATGGGCAACTTGCCATCGCCTCGGGCTACTCCATCTCCGTATGGGATGACGCGGGGTCTTGTGTCCAAACTTTTCAAACAAGGACGAAAGACATGTCGCTCGCATTCTTTCCTGATCAGGGACTGCTCGCTTCAGGGAGTTGCTACAGTGGCGACCCAATCAGCCTGTGGGACTTGTCGACAACCTCCTCCACACCATTGAATGAGAAACACGTAGACTTAGGCTCGGTGCGGCTGTGTCCGCCTGATGGCAGATACATTGCGGAGTCAGTTGACAACATAATCAGACTGTGGAACGTAGAGACCGTCCGCTGCCTTCGTACACTTGTTGGTCACAAGACCAAGGTTGAGTTTCTCACGTTCTCGCCAGATGGCCTGTACGTTCTATCAGTCTGCAAAAGGGAAGTCAAACTCTGGGATGCAGACAAAGGTTGCTGCCTCACCACATTCCAGCGTTCAAATGCGTCAAGGCCCGTTTGGTCTCCCAACAGTCAATGGTTCGCACTAGTTGGCCATTCAGCAATCGAGATTTGGAATGTCTTGGATCACGTTTGTATACAGCAGTACGACTACTCGTCAGATTCCAACGAACCAGTGAAGCTGGCCTTCGCGGGTGATGGTGGGACTCTGGCATCTATCGACTCCCTTAATCTAAAGATTTGGGACATTAGAAACAAACGCTGCACCCTAACAATGAGGATAATTCGCAGCATGGATGTGTGTATTGCAGTGTCAGCACACGCCGAACGGGTTGCTCTGGGCATGTATAGCACCATCTACGTCCTAGATGTTAGCGAAGGCAGGGTGCTCTGGGAACGCGAGGTTGATGCTAGGAATTCTAGCGTGCAATCGGTCGCATTGTCACCGAACGAGGAATGGCTCGCGTCAACGTCAACAGACGGTGGTTCACGCGAGATGGTGCAAATTTGGCGTATCGACACACAAACATGCGTTCGTAGGCTTGTATTCACTCATGCCAGCAGATTCACTTACAATCTTCGATTCAACCCACTAAACAGCTCGCAGCTCCACACAAGCACAGGAACGTTAGAACTTCAACTTGGGTCTGACATAGGCTCTGGAGAAGATCCTATTGAAGCTGAATACTGTGGGTATGGGTTGAGTAATGATGGTATGTGGATCTGTAAAAATAGCGAAAGGCAACTGTTTCTACCGTCGGAATATCGGGATTATATACGGATTACGGGGTCAACAGTTGCCCTTCAAAGTCGGTCAGGGCGGGATATATGGTTTCATATGGCCTGATTTGAAAGTGGAGAACTAGAGGTACAAAGTGCAGATAGCTTCATATCGAGAACAACGGTTTATCAGACAGTTTGGCTGTGGATACAGGTAGACATGCATCTTTAGAGATGCGGCTACCTACCTGAATTAGTGCGTGATTAAAGCCTTATGTAAAGCAAATGTTCACTAACTTGAGCAAAGCTGAAACTATGACCGGATTATCAAGCTGGCAGCAACCGCAACCTAAGTCGCTTACAGCATTAACATCTGAAGCTATCTTATAGAAAGGTAATAAAACCCCAATTTCAAAGAAAGTGAGCGACCAACTTTATGCGACTAACCCACCCCGTTTCGCACCAATCTCGGCAAATCCTACTACTGAAATCTAGAATTGATCAAAGTTTACTGTCAAAGGATCGGGCTTACATCAGAGACGTTTCAGCTAAAATGTGCAGCAGCTATCACCACCACTTTTGTGATATGGGCAGTCTATTTCGAACCACTTTGAGAAGAGCGCAAGAAATTGTCCGTGGCCTTTCGGGCGATACGACAAGGTGTATCATCACATCATGGCTGAATGATGTTGCTCACCTAGTGTTGGTGGACAGAAAGCGCGTGCCCTAGAGAAAGCAGGGCCGAGTGAGTGAGTCACAAGGAGCTGTAGGCTGCCCACAGAAAGTAATGTGTGATAAGTGTGATGGAACAGCAGAGCAATTGTATTTCAAAGTATGTAGACACCACAGTGCATGTTTGCGATGCAGCTGTGACAAGCTAGGGAAGTATCGCAAAACATAACTTCTCATGCATTCATTTGACGTTGAACGCTACATGTTGGCTGGCTACTTACCTTTACCGAGCAGTGGACTTCATGAATTGTTTCAAATTCTGCTTTGGGTGCCTCACTATCGTCCGCGGTATTATCCCGCCGCCATTGTCTTTGTCGCAATCATCGTCGTCGTCTCGTAATGTCGTCGTAGCTGTTGATATTGTTGAGGTCGTTGCTGTTGTCGTGCAGCAATAATCATCAGCACCAGTGATCATGAAGGGCCGGCGCTGATCTAGACTAGGTAAGCGACTGTTTCGTAGTTTCGGCGCTTGAGCACTATATATGCCCATTAATCGTCATTACTTTTCCGCTTGGCAAGAGAACCAAAATAAACGTAAACGTGTGTGAACATGTTCATCCAAAGTGCGCAATTTAATTAAGTTGGTTGTGCATTGAGTACTGAAGTGACTTCTTGAACTTTATTTCAATAAAACAGGGGCTTGAGCCAACAATAGCTCTGCTTACCGCGTGCTGCGGCAGCGGGGTGGCCGGCCTACGGCTGCATACATGTGCTTGGGGACGAGTCAAGCATGGACGGGCCTGTCCGCAATTGATTAAGCAACGGCCAGTCCGGCCCCGCTCCGCCGGGCCCATGACACCATGCTTGGTCCGTTAATCAACTTTCCAGATATTCTCCAATGATAGAGATGCTCGAAGCCGATCATTCCTTTCCAACGAGGTTGCCTATTAAAGGATTTGAGCACCGCACACGCCTTTTCGCGTGTGGTTGTTTGGCATTTGTCCTGCGTGTTGTTGCTGCGTCTTCCAACTACCTGTCAGTCTTTACTTTCACCAATGTCTCGCACTAGTCATTCGTTTGCGCCGGGAACCTTCCGTGTATTGTTCCTATGGCTTTCACTCCTTAACGTCTTACTCCCCATCAGCGCATCGCCCACGCCTGCTACCTCCGATCGAAAGCTTGCTAAGCGGGTGAAACAACAGTTCCCTTGGTTCGACGACACTTACGAAGGCCGTGCGGACAAGGGAGAATGGCTGAAGGGTCTTCTGCCCTTGGATCCCGCAAAAGCGCAAGAATATAATGGTGGAGCGTCGGTGGCTAGCCCGTACCAGAACCCGGAGGATGTTTTGGCCTGGGGCTGGACACCGAATGTCTATTTCTTCCCGTATGCAGGCGGTCGAAAGCCCGATTTCGAGAACCGGCTAGACCCTGCATTCGCGGACACAGCTTTCCCGGTAAACAAAGCGGACAACACAGTCTGGAATCTGGTCCACGATCGAGAATTCAAGAAGGCAAATGGCCAAACAGGATATGTGAGCAGAGCTATGACACCTCAACTGTCCCACCGTACTAATCTTCTCGTTCTGTCAGCCCACGATGGCGCACTACACCAACGTTGTAAACCCGAAGTCTGGTGCATTCATTTTCGACTCAAATTACAGCCCAACTTATGCAAAGAACACGAATAAAAAGGGGGATATCCCCGACTTAGACACGGCGTCCGATATTGCCTACTTCCAGTGGCGAGACGGCTGTCTATCTGGAGGTGATGATCCGAAGAAGTTGAAGGTCGTTTTTCGGTCGCACATTGTCTATAACAAGACATTCCAAATTGTGATGGAGGCATTGCGAAGGGCAAAATATACCCAGGTCCCAGAATGGGACCAACGAATTACATTCAAGATGGATACTGACGAGGGTCTTGCCATCCTGGGAAGCACCCACGGCGCTTCAACAGCTTGGATGCTCATTCAGCACAAGGAGGAGCTTGGGTTGAAGGACATCACGGAAGTGGTGGTTTGGGCAGCGAACGGGGCCTTCCCGTTGACACGAAACCCAAATTTGGCTAATCTGAACTTGAGGTTTACGATAGTCGACGTTTAAGACATCAAAGGATATATCAGCATAGCGTTTAATTCAATTATGACTTGAAGATTTCCAGCTCTGCCGTCAATCCATCGTGCGGTGTCTTCGCTCGCGATGAAAAAAGTTCGGAAACAACATGCAGAGTTCGGTTCAATGGACTACGTCTTTGGGAAGCTCTTCTTCGCCAATGCTTGCTAGCTTATTCCAGGCAGCTGGCCAAATTACCTGATAGGCTTAACATAATGATGTTTTAGTACACCGGAAGAACGAGAATACATTGGCATAGTTAGCGACCGACACCCCGGCCAACCCAGACAGCCTCTCCTACACGCTTGTTCTGAGCATAGGAAGAGGGGGGGGGGAAGGCTGCGGCGTGGCTTTCTACTGATCCTACGTTCTGGGGAGTCCTCCAAAGTTTCGTCTTCGTCCGTCAGGCACGTATGTCTTGCTCTGGCTGCTCTGTCTGCGACGGTCCTTCTGTCGCCCGAAGCTGACCCGTTTCTCGGTTGCCGTTGATTGGGCTGTCCTCAGAGCTGTCCTCAATTCCTGCCATTCG